TCTCTCTGAGACAATAACCTCAATAGTGACGATGTCGCCGACTAACGCCCTACCACCTCCTTACACGACTCGCCAACTCCGCCGTTACACCCCGTACCCCAAACTCTACGCCGAGCGAAGATATCTGCATCCCTCCCATTCGTCCAGCCAGCCAACACAGCCATTCCGGCTCATGAAACTCCCCCCTGAACTCCGCTGCATGATCTATACCTCCGCACTCACCCTACCCTTCCCCATCGAACTCTGGCCCGAAACAGACAACCACATCGCCTCGCACCAGATCGTGACCGCAAACCGCAACATGCATTACCTGAAAGTCAAGATGCGGCAACGCGGCGTCAACCTGAACTTGCTGAGAGTGAGCAGACAGGTAAGACATGAAGCTACGTTTTACTTCTACAGAGAGAACGAGTGGCGCTTCAGCGGGATGAATGGGTGGATGGTTGCTAGTGCGTGGATGTTCACAAGTGCGTTCATGTTCACTTCAAGAGAAAAGTATGCGTGGCAGTATATCAAGTGTATTACACTGCCGTTACCGGTTCGACACACGGCGCAAGGGCGGGCGCAACAGCGATGGGGGATGATTAGGCCGGCAGTAAGTAAACGCGCGGTTGCTAGGCTCACTAAGCAGATTCCCTTCAACGTTCCTGAGGGATGGACTTATGGGAGTAGTGTCAAGGATGTTTGTGTCGCGTTGGGGAAGTGTATGAATTTGGAGGTGTTGAGACTTGTGCTGCCAAGGTGGTGTGATATGGACGTTATTGATGAGGAGGTGATGAAGGATTTTGTTGGACAGATTGAGCGGTTGAGGGAGGTATTTCGGAAGGAAGTATTTAGGAAGGGATTGAAAGTACAGGTGGTGAGGGTTAGTGGAGTGAAGACGTCGATGGGGGAGTTGGCCATGGTCACCGAGAAACAGGGAAGGTTTGAAGAGGAGTGCGTGAAGAAGGGGTGGGAGGTCAAGACGGCGAAGTGCGATAAGTTTGGGAGGTACGGTGTTGAGGATGAGTGATATGAGACAACGATTCGACCCGTCGGGGTCACCCTATCAAGGAGACAAATCCTCATTTCAAATGCAGGCTGCGCAATGGAACAAGACCGAAATGATATTCCTTTGGCACACAGCTCCTGATGGTAACTTCTCCTGATCTACGGAGATAGTGACCATCTCTCTAAAGATTGCATCGGAAGAGTGGTATGGCCCGGAAGTGATAAGCTCACCGCTAGCTTCCAATTGATCTAGAACAACACGCACATCCACGCAGGTTAGCTGGACGCGTTCTTATGCGGACGGATACCAGCAGCCTAGATGAGCGATCCATTTCGGAAGATACGCCACCATGCGATTGGCTGCTGCGGCACCAACAAAGTCCGATCTTAGGGGCGTAAAATGACTTTGGTGTTCCTAAAAGGGCGATTGAAGATCTTTCGTCACAGTGTTTCAGTCTCGCAAAATTTTCGTGTCCAATCTGCGCTTGGGCATCATCGCAGCGGTCAAGACGAGTTGTGCATTGCGTCTTCCAGTCGACAACGTGTACAACCGTAGCTATCTGGGTAGATGCATGTTGTTGCAGTACGGTGAAGGATTGGAAGGGGATGATTCTGGACCGGGCTATTATCGTTGCTTGTGCCGTGTCGGGGACTTTCGCAATCGGGAGGAAGTGGAGATGCGCAAGCGCCACCCCCTGCAAGACCCCGCGCCACATCCCTGAGCCACATCGTTACGCCACACTCGTGCGGTCAGCTGCTGCGGCCCTACATGAAGCCTGGGCAGTACATTCTCACTTTCGATATTACTCCGTCTTGGACGACACGAATTCGCATCTCCCAAGCATAGCTACACAGATCTAGAGATCGCGAAGGACCGAACAAGGATCATACTTTTGCAGGACGCACAATGGCAGTCGTGCAATCGGAAGACGACTACCCGATCGCGACCAGCGAAACACGGCACGACACGCGCAGTACCCACGACTCCACGACTCTACGTCGATCAGTAATCGACGTGCCATGACACAGTACTACTAACTACAACAACGTGTGTATTCCGTGGATGGGCTGAGCGATCGTTTGACGAACAGCCTTGGACGTCGTCTCGAGTCGCAACGCAGCTAACCTCCAGGGCGGTTGGCGTCAGCCGGCTGCATCAACCTGGCAAGCAAGTCCTGTCAGCGACTCTTGAACACGCGGGATCCAAATCAGCGTGGTGAACAGAGATACACCTAGGAATGGCACCTGGGCGTCATGCACGACACCTGTTTGCGCGACATGACGTGCCAAGACGCCCCGAGCTGGTGTTTTACGCCCTCCAGGAAGCGTCGCGATTGGCGGAGATATCGAAAAGAAAGTCATTGAAACTATCTCACACTCTAGCCAGATTCTAGCGCAAGGCTCGCCCCGTGACACGAATCGCAAAATGTGTCTTGGCAGGACCCCAATGATGTTCCCGGAGAAATGCTTGACTGGCCAGACGTTTTCGAACAACGAGCGGAAATTTCAGTTCTCCTTGGCGTTCCAGATAGGTGGTTACGATGTGGATATTTGAGCGGTTTCATGTCAAAGCTTGGCATTTTGGCGAGCGTTGGCGTCGGTGTGACAGGCTGAATCCAGCACTAGTCGATCGGACATGTAACGACTTCCTGGCTTCTGGTGGTGAATCAATTGTCGTGTGCGTTCGTGTGGCGTTCCAGAACACGATGTCTCTCAAGTTGTCTCCCAGAACTCGTCTTTCTGAGATGCAAACTGATGTCTTATCGCGCTGATGATGATGAGAGTTGAGTCTGGAAGACAAGACGGTGCTTACTGGATAATTCACTCTCTACCAACTCCACAGTACAAATGAGCCTGGCATGGGTGCTATCGAAATATCCCGCCCTGAGCGTGTTTCCGACCTCCAAGCCCCACCAGAGCACGGCCCTGACGTCCTCGGAACCCTGCGAGCGTCTTCTTCTGGGCCATCCTACTCACATTCGCATGACACTCTGGGCCTGGGCTCATGAGTACCGCCGGAGAGGAACAGTACCCTGTCTTCCACATGGCACATCTTCGGACGAATGTGGAGTGCCTCAGTGTGGCACCCAGAAGACAAGTTGAGGGGGAGTATAAGTATCACAGCGACCACCGGCAAAAAGGAATCACCACCACCATCACATTCATTCAGTCTATTCTTGCTTGAAGCATCCACTTTCGCTACCTCTTTCAGAGACTTACATTCTTTATACATACTTTGTTCAAAGCATCCTCTTCGACTTTCCAGTTTCGATCAACCAACTCAACCGTCAACATGAAGTTCTCCATCGCCATCGTTGCTGCCATCACTGGCTTCGCCGCCGCCGGCCCTGCCGCCGTTACTCCTTCCGAGTTCTCCTCCTTCGCCAAGCGCGCCTCCCTCCCGATCCCCGCCTCCAAGGGCTCCGTCACCTACAAGGCTCCCCAGCAAGTCAGCGGAACCTTCGATGGTGGCATGAAGACCTACGGCCGTGGTGCTAGCTGCACTGGCCAGGTCGAGGGCGGTGACAAGGACGCTGTCTTCCTCATCAAGAACGGCGGAACTCTCAAGAACGCTATCATCGGAAAGGACCAGATCGAGGGCGTCCACTGCGAGGGTGAGCATCCTTCCGTACAAACAACGAGTCATAGATACTAATCTGAACCAGGATCCTGCACCATCGAGAACGTCTGGTGGGTCGACGTTTGCGAGGATGCGCTTTCCCTCAAGGGTGACGGAAACGCCATGATCAAGGGCGGAGGTGCCCAGGCCGCCGATGACAAGGTCATCCAGCACAACGGAAAGGGCACGGTCACCATTGACGGCTTCAGTAAGTCCCCCGACACTACACTCCTCTGAACACCACTAACAGCCCCCAGCCGTTATGAACTTCGGCAAGCTCTACCGTGCCTGCGGTAACTGCAAGAACAGCGTCGCCCGCTCCGTCGTCATCAAGAACGTCAAGGCCTACAACGGAAAGGTCCTCGCCGGTATCAACCCCAACTTCGGCGGTACCGCTACCATCTCCGGCACCTGCGCTACCTCCGTCAAGACCATCTGCGAGGAGTTCAAGGGCACCAAGCCCGGCTCTGAGCCCAAGTCCGTCTCCAAGGGCCCCTCCGGCAACTGCAAGTACACTGCTTCTGCTGTCAAGTCTTGCTAGACGGGTGATTCGACTCGCTCGGCACTTTAGTCGGGTGAGAGTATTGTGGTCATTGGGGATGAGTGGGTGGTAGAAGTGGATTTTGGAACTTTTGAGGATTCTTTGTATATATAACTTTTGCACACATGCAGTGCATGTAATCAACTTGCTTCAGCACATCTCTGTTCTCGATACCATGGTGATCCCAATCTTGCCTCAGGTCCGTTTGATTTTCTTAGTCTGATGCTAAAGCGACAGCGAGGATGCAACGAGCACTCCACACTTGATCGCGGTTATGTCTAGTCACAGGGCGAGGCATACAAAATACTGCGCCACAGTGACAGCAAAGTGTTGTCGTTGAGGTTCATCGGCCAGTCTCGGCGTTACTGGGGAACTTTTGTGAGATTGATTAATCTATCGTCGGCTACCTGCACCTCATTTAATCTACTACGGAAGCATCGGAGCTAATGCCTGGGCAGATGAAACACAGTAAGTTTTTCTCAAAGTTGTAAAGATCAGCAGCCAAGTAGGTAGGGAATTGTATGACATTTGGTATTAGGGTACAGGACCAGAGTGTGGCTACCACCATCATACACCCGCTACATTCTTGAAAGACGCTATGTGTGGCAACGCACTTTTGACATGAGATTGAGAAACGACTATTAGGAATGAGAAAAAGGTACATCCCGCGACACCGCTCCGTGGCAGTGAGGACATGGAAGTCAAGAAATCCAAAAGCAACGCAAGTGAGCAAGGCGGTGACGTCATTTCTGACACTTCGCCGAGCTTTGAAAAGGAAAACAGAAACCAAATAACTCCGTCACCCTGGGTATAACGCGCCGGTAAACAACGGACTGGAAGCGCTAGCCATCACTCGCTGCGACGCTTCTTCACAGGCGCTTTCTTACGAGGTGCTTGGCCAGCTGGGTCCTCTGCAACGAAGGTCTCTTCGCGAGCGCGCTTCTTGCCCCTTGGGGCCTTCTTGACCTTTGTGGATTCCTCGCTGTTGGAACCCTCCTCACCATCCTGCTGTGTTGCCTTGTCTTCGCTGCTGGAAGAAGGTGTCGCGCTGGAAGAAGCTGCCTTGCTGCTTTCTTTCTTGATTGCCACCTTACCTGCCCGAATCTGCTGACCTTTGTTGACGTTGGCAGTCTTGTTGGTCGCCGTGCGATGGATCAGGTTGCGCGGGTTGGCGATGATAGTGTAGAAGCGGGAACCCTTCATGATGTCTTGGCAAGATGTCTTGGAGTACTATACATGGTTAGCTTCAATTCGTATAACTACCAAGACAGAATACTTACGTGAAGCAGTTCCCGAAGACCTTCGAACCGATCTTCAAACGTGTAGAACTGGGTGAGCTGACATTGCTCACGCTCGTTCTGGTCGAAGATCTGCTTGGTCCAACCGTCGGTGTGGATTTTGATAAGCTCTTTCTATGTTACGTTAGTGATGGCAGAGGCATACAGTTCGATTTAAACTTACCACAAGCAGGCCAGCAGCTGCATTGTACTCTTCCGGGAAATAGTACTTCGACTCAGAGTTCCACCGATTGTTAGATGACTTGACATCGGCCTTCTCCCGGATGTTTTCGACGTTGTGCATTGCCAGGTCAAGAGCATTGACGCAGGCCTTGATGTCATCTTCTGTTGTAGGAATGGTCACATCATTGGCAGGCGCCTTCCACATCGTACCACTGAACTCAACTCCAGTGTTGGTACGAACCATAGTGATAGACTCGCCCATCTGCCCATCCATACTGGTCTTGGCCTTCAGCTTCCTGATCGCGGCCCGGGCTTGCTTCTCTTTTTCGAGGATATGCTTGGGTGTGGTAGATTTAACAGCGCCCGCGCCGTTAGCGCCGTCAGCAGCTTGCTCGCCAGTTCCAGCGTCCTTGTTCTCGGACAGCTGGGGCGCCGGTGCATCACCGGTCGCTACTGGATGGTTGGTTACAGGTGCGTGATGGTTGGTTGCAGGTGCGTGATGGTTGGTGACAGGCGGGTGGTGCCTCATGAATGTATCAGGGGTCGCCGACGTAGGTGGCGGCGCTGATCTAACTCGCGGTCCAGGTGCATGTTGAGGCCCTGATGGATGTTGTAGCCCTGGTACTCCCTGTGGGCCTGATCGATGCAGTCCTGGTGCTTGTGGGGGCCAGTATCCAAGTTGAAATCCTGGCGCAGGGCTGACGATTGATCCGTACTGAGCTACTGGTCCACGAGCTGTTGATGGCGGGTGGCCCGGCTCTGGTAGACGAGTCGGTACTGGGGCTTGGAGATCTGCTGGTGCATGACGAGAGCCTAGTCCGCGATGAGTTGCTGGCGTGAAAGAGGGCGATAATGCAGTGCTCAGAGGCTGCGCATAGCCTGGCGGTAGTCCTTGCATCCTGGATGGGCGGCTTGTAGATGATGTGTGAGCAGGCGCTGATGGGTAATTGGAAGGGATTCCATGGTCTTGCACTTGCCTATGGCCCAGCGCTGGGCCCCGACGTACGAAAAACGGATGGCCGCTCGATGACGCAGGGGTCGGCGTTGACATCTGGTTCGCGGATGGAGCATTCGCCGACCCACTGAGCGAGATGGGCGATGGTGTACGATCATGCGCTAAGACTGGACGTCCAGTGATTTGCACTGGGTTAAGAGCAGTCGGGGGATACGTAAAGTCGTATCCTAAGCTGCTGGGCGAGCCTAGAAGAAGTCAGTGTGAGCGCGCAACACAGAGTGTATATCACATCGACTTACCGAAGGCTACGTTGCTCTCTGGCTGATGCGGGTGACCAGTCTCTAGATGACTGTGTCCTTCTTGCTGGTTCCAGTCATGGGCCGACTGTCCGGGTACGCTCTCGCCAGATGTGTGCATGTTGATTTGATCGTTCCAGTCGTGAGTTGTTCCAGTGTTATAACTTGGGTTAGCCGCAGCCGGGGAATATGAAGCCTCGTTGTCCAAGCTGCTGGGTGTGTCTAGAAGAAGTCAGTGTAGGCTCGACGCATGTAAAGATAACCATGTCGACGTACCGAGGGCCACAGTAGGTTCTGTTCGATGCTGGTACTGCAGTCGTACTTGCTCGTATCCTCCAGGCGAGTAGATACCGGGGACGAAATGTCCAGGTTGGACGCTCCCGGGCGTGTACGGCTGTTCTTGGTCGTAGTAGCTGCTGTTGTTTGCAAGGGTCTCAGGCGGAGGATCTTGCCAGTATCGGTCGTTCGAAAGTGCACTGTAGAAGTCCTGTCTGAACCTGTTCTGTCCAACTGAGCCGTGGGGCAGTGAAGTCTCTGGCGCGGTATGAGGGGCTGATGTCAAATCGGGATCTTCGTTCAGGAGTGTCATGAGTTCTTCGTCAGTGTATTGGGATTGCTCCGGAAAGGGGTTGTTGAAATTCATTGTAAAGCTGTCGTCGTCGTATGAAATGAATTTTGCAAGTTGTGGTTGTGAATCGAAGTGGTTGAGGGGAGTGATATTTCCTTGAGCTCGAAATGAAGCCCTAGAAATACTACCACGGGTACAGCGCGCTAGGAGTTTGTTTGTGGCGGAGCAGAAGGCTCCCAACTCGGATAGAGTGGATCAGAGGGTGAATCACGTGTTCACACGGCGGTCACTCCAAGGCGGGGGAGGGGCGACTAAGGAGGAAATCACTGTAGCGCCAAGCCCAAAGCGTGAGGGCGATCGAAGTGTTCATGCAGGCGGCAAAACCAGTAGCGATACTACGTGTTAACTTTCGAGGCATCGCGCTGTTTCTTGCCAGTTAAGTATATAAACTCAACTAAACCAGGTATAAGTAAGCCAGAACCCCTCGAAGCTGTCTAATATACCGAAATGTAAGTGCAAGTCTCCTACCGTCGACTGTATATATCTCTTTCTAGGCTTGTTCTGCTGCATCCTTTTCGCCGTACCATTCCAAATGGCACGAACTTGGTGAATGGGGTTTAAAAGACAGTGCTCAAGGGGATGTAAAAGAGCAAGGAAAGCGAGATTGCTTGCGGGACCGGGAAAGACAGCCTACCATAAGTGTTCGAGGATTCCACGTCACTACTTAACTACTACCGCCCAGGTGTTTGTCTCAACCGACAAAGCACTCCCAGATATTGCACTCGACAAACTATTCCGGCAAACGCAAAGACTCTTCCAAACTCAACCTTGACAGCTACGCCGGTCAACCGAGTATGCTCGCTCGCCTGGAATAGTAAGCGGGAGACGACAATACCGACTCAACTAACCTCCAGGTAGACGTTTGCTGTGTCGTGCTGCCTCGACCAAGGCATGCCGAATGAGACAACCAAGAACCCCGATCTCTATTGGTCTTTCAGTCGGATCAGAGAGCTCAAGACAAAGAAAGCAAGTCCATCCAACAGCCGCTCGGTAGCTTATGACTCGGACGGTATTGTGTCCTTGACGGCACGTGCTCGCTGATTTTCGCGACAAGAACTTTCTTCGAAATCATGCCGAAGGCAGCGTCTTCAGTTATGAGATCTGAAAAGGAGAAGTCGAGCGATTGAATGTGATGGCGACGCGGAGCGAGCCCATCAACCTGCAGTCGCTGCAGCCGCGCGTTCGCCGCGGAGAGTGGCGCATCGCGACAGTCCGAGGAGCATTCCCTGGACATGACTGCACTCGATGAAAGCTTATGGAAGTGTGCAGCACCAGTCCTCGCAAGAAGCAGGAAGCGGCCGTGCACCAGGCGAAGTCCATGAAGGTTTGTCGTTGATTTTGAGGTGGGATCAATGCGCGCTAGCGACGGCGAGCCTGCCCCTCGTTCCTGCCTTCCTTCTCCGCAACCTACAACTTCATCCGCTTCCACCAAACGTCGACAGCATCGACAATCTCGCCACCGCCGGGTCCTTCTTTTTACTGATACTTTCACCCAGGAAGGCAATTGAATCTCATGTCTTCATGTGATCAACGGTCCAGACCTTTCCCGACGCTGGCTTCGATGGCTGTGCTGCCATAAAAGCCGACGGGCCACGCCCACACCCACCACCATCACCGCGACCCTCACAATGCTGCACCGGACGCGATCTTGCCAACGCTTCTCCGATTGAGATCATCGGTAACATGAGCTCAACCGACGGCGCGATACAGCCACTGCCGTTTCGACGCGTCTGACTCGCACGAGACAAACATGCCAAGGCAACATTCCTTCCTTGCCGCGCACCAGCCAGTCTATGCAAACTCATTGCACTTCGAAACTTTTCGCGCCCATACTCACAGCCACTAGCATCCAACTCTTCTCCACACACCGCGATGGCATACCACGCCGTGGTCGTGCGGCTACCGCTGCTGTCGAGCCACTCAACTGGCGCAACCTAGATGACACCTCACCGAAGGTTCAACTCCCAAGCAAGAGCGACTTCCAACGCGAGAATACTGCACTCAAGTGTAATGAGAGTACTCTCTTCCACCATTTTTTCTGGTCTCGATCCCGATCAAAAGTGACCACCTTCCCGCCGGGCAAGGAGGTCACATGACGCATCCCGCCTGGAACGCTCTTGCTTGGAAAGACCCCGGTGACACCTGAAAGAGAAGGGACTACATTATCTCATGGTACTGTGTCGCACAAAAAGTGTATTGCTGCTTGCCAGTCTTGGTCGACGAAGATCCGTTCGCGTCTTTACGATATGGACTTGCACATGCACTTGCAGGCGCAGCCCATGCTACACCTCATCGGAGAGCTGGACAGAACACGCGTAGACCTGGCAAGACGTTGCTTTTCCGGAACCTGAACAGTGTGTAGTCGGTCGCGCGCTCTGTCGCTGCCAGCTGCAATCGTATATGCTGACGGGCCTGCGACGGCCTCGCGCATCCGTATTGTCGCCGGTTCTCATAAGGTTCCTATGGTACGCCATTAGCTCTTATGTCTTTCAGTTCAAAAAGAAGTCATTCTAGGTAAGGTAGTCAGTATGTTAACATATGTCACAGGCAACATCGCACGCAGCAAGGCCATATCACACGACGCCAATCTCGCCCAGTATCCCAGGCAAGACGCATATCACGACACTACACGCTATCGACATGTCGCAAGTGCTATGAGGGCTTGTGGATCGGGTCAATGGGTCGTGGGTGTAGCAAACGCTCAGGTCCTAGGTGAATGCGAGGATGCCAAGACGCTCGGACGCGTTACTCACGCCTGTGCTGTCGATACGCACGCAGCCCCCCCAGCAACAGGCACCGATCATAACAACAGACCTTTGTCTTCTTTCACAGAACGCACCTGATATCCTCTTGGCTTACAAATCGTCCGCGCTTGTCACAGGCGACCTTCAATTTTCTACTTCACTCCGTCGTCGCCTAGGTAAACATTACGCCATATCTTGTTCAATACCCGTGGACGCATCTTTTCACTAGCGCCGCAGTCAGCCTTGCACATATAAAGATCGGGGGACGCAAGCGTTTCACCTCTCACGCCGTGTAGAGTAATAACAATTTTTCCCGTAAGTTCCACTAGAGCTGGAAAATAGATGCTGGAGTTCACTAACAGGTGTCTTAGTTGCAAGCAGTTACCGTCGAAACCGAAACCCCCCGTTACCAGGCTCAAAACACCAACCCTATGACCGACCACGACCCCAATAAGGACACCCCCAAGGGCATAGCCAACAAGACCCTGATGATGACCCAGAGCCAGACTGCATCTCCCTCAACTCCCGTTGGTGCTCGTGCTCCCGTTCCCTTCGGCCCTCCCATTCCCCGCCTTGCGGACACGCGCCTGGAAAAGGTCCCCGGCGGTCTCAAGGATCCGTCTCGCCTTAAGACCAAGATTTCCCAGCTTCTGGACAAGGACGGTGACTATCCAGAGGTCGATGGCTTCCGCTTCAAGACCCTAGAAGAAGCTAGGGCGCCCATGGACGAGCCTCAGTGGTATTCTCCAGAGGTCGACCCCTCCATCCCCGAGACCGACGCAGAGTATCGTAAGTTCGTCGAAATGTTGATGCTGGCTTTCAAGGATATGACCCGCGCCAAGGACACCCAGGGCAACGCTTACCGCAAGCGGCTAACTCCGGGTGAAGGTGTCTATTACCAGGACTGGGCTATTGAAGCGTGCTCCTGGGACATCGTCGGCATGGCCAAGGACATCCACCTGAACGGCTTCAAAGTTCGCATCTACGATAAGTCCATCATCGACAACATCAGCCAGACCAAGGACTGGACCTTCGGACAGCGTATAGAATGGATCTGTGCGGTGCTGAGGACCTCCAAGCAGATTGGCGTTACTCTGATGAAGAACGAGAAGACCTGGACTACTATTGGCGCTCCCCACAAGCTGTACAGTAGCACCATCGTCAACTGCGTCTCGAACGCGCACCGCGGCCAGTGGATCAAGGTCGGCCGTGACAACGACCAGCACCATCAGAATCGTCCGATTCGGGGTAGGCGTACTGCGGCTGAGATGATCGCGTCCGGTGACAACGATGACACTGATGATCCTGGAGCAACTCCGGGTTCTCAGATGATGTTACAACCGCGACAGTCGGCCCAGAAGCGCCAGAAGCGTAGTCAACCGGGTGTGAATGTCATTCGGCATGACCACCCAGCCATGGCCACTGACTCTGAAGGCGAGATGTCTCCCGGCAAGATGAAGAAGAAGCGCAAGACCACAACCCAGTACAACTCGTCATCCCCCACCTACGTTGTTCAGTCAGAGACTTCGGCATCTCAGCCGGACGAACAGTACCCTGGTGCTGCTATGGGCGTTACCTTTTCGAATGTACTTCCCGTGAAGCATGTCGTCGCTGTCCCCGTGCAAGCTGCTCGAAAGAACGGTGCCCAAGCTGATGATGTTGTCTTCAAGGATGCTTTCAGCAAGGACGTATTCAGCGAGGGTGCTAATGGCAAGAACGCCTCTAACGACGGCGGGGACGGCTCCATCAAGGATAAGGGCAAGGGCAAGATGAAGAAGACTAAGGACACCGGTTTCGTCAACTACCATTGCGGAACTAAGGGCATGGACGAGCTTGACTCGGACAGCTTTCGAGCGGCAGGTCGCGCGCCAGGAGGCTTCACCCGAACCGGATCTCCCTCGTCCTCTGAGCTCTCCGATGCACCTGATGATCTGCTATCTCCTGGCTCTGGCTCTCCAACTCCCAACCACAAGCAGAAGGAGCTGCTGGACGACCCCGAGGACAAGGTTTCCATTGAGGAGTACGCCAAGCTTCGGGGTGAAATGGATGAGCTGAAGGCGGCGCAAGCTGAGACCGACAAGATTCTGGCGGCACTCCGCGCGGAGAACGCGCGCTCGTTGGCCTCGTTCCATCAGGGCTCTTGAGTAGCATGACTGTGCAGCGCATCGTCGCCGCAAGTATATCGGAGAGTAAGCACACGTTTGATCGTCCATGGAACAAGATGGATGACTAGTCTTTCCTGCCTTTCGGTAGGATAAGATTCTGAATGGA